ATTTCGTTGATTTGAATTAATTTTAATTTTATTAGGTAATTTTGAGTTTTATAGAATTTATATCAATTAATAAATAAATACTTATTTTGTTAATTTTAATTAATTTTAATTTTATTTGGTAATTTTGAGTTTTATAGAATTTATATCGTGGGATATAATAATTAATGAGAGCTTTTTATTTTGAATTAAACTCTTTTATTTTTTCTTAATTTGAATTAATTTGAATTTTATTAGTTAATTTTGAGTTTTATAGAATTTATATCAATTAATAAATAAGTACTGAAACTCTTTGCACAAAGGCCGAGAAAATAGTACTACACTTGATTTTAGCCAAAAGGCCAAGAAAGGTTAACCAAAAGACCAACCCAAAAAAATTTAGTACTACACTTGATCTTAGCCAAAAGGTCGAGAGGGTATGATTATTATTCCTTTACCTCTATAGTTTTATAAGAGACTTTAATGTAATCATTTTTATTTAAAATCAACGTGGGACTTTATAATTTAAATTAAACTCTTTTTATATTTTGTTAATTTTAATTAATTTTAATTTTATTAGGTAATTTTGAGTTTTATAGAATTTATACCAATGAATAAATAAATACTTATATTGTTAATTTTAATTAATTTTAATTTTATTAGGTAATTTTGAGTTTTATAGAATTTATATCGTGGGATATAATAATTAATGAGAGTTCTTTATTGTGAATTAAACTATTTTATATTTTGTTAATTTGAATTAATTTGAATTTTATTAGGTAATTTTGAGTTTTATATAATTTATATCAATTAATAAATAAATATTGAAACTTTTTGCACAAAGGCCGAGAAAGTATTACTACACTTAATTTTAGCTAAAAGGCTAAGAAAGTTAGTTAAAAGGCCAACTCCAAAAAAACTTAATACGACACTTGATCTTAGTCAAAAGGCCGAGAATGTGTGATTATTATTTATTTACCTTTATAGTTTTATAAGAGGCTTTCATTTAATCATTTTTACTTAAAACCAATGTGGGACTTTGTAATTTGAATTAAACTCTTTTTATATTTTGTTGATTTTAATTAATTTTAATTTTATTAGGTAATTTTGAGTTTTATAGAATTTATATCAATTAATAAATAAATACTGAAACACTTATAAATATAGATATAGAATTTATATCGTGGGATATAATAATTAATGAGAGCTCTTTATTGTGAATTAAACTTTTTTATATTTTGTTAATTTGAATTTTATTAGGTAATTTTGAGTTTTATCGAATTTATATCAATTAATAAATAAATACTGAAAGTCTTTGCACAAAGGCCGAGAAAGTAGTACTATACTTGATCTTAGCCAAAAGACCAAGAAAGGTTGGCCAAAAGGCCGACCCAAAAAAATTATTGTGAATTAAACTCTTTTATATTTTGTTAATTTGAATTAATTTAAATTTTATTAGGTAATTTTGAGTTTTATAGAATTTATATCAATTAATAAATAAATAATGACACTCTTTGCACAAAGGCCGAGAAAGTAGTGCTACACTTGATATTAGCCAAAAGACCAAGAAAGATTAGCCAAAAGACTGACCCAAAAAAATTTAATACTACACTTGATCTTAAGCTTTATAGAATTTATATCAATTAATAAATAAATACTGAAACTCTTTGCACAAAGGCAAAGAAAGTAGTACTACACTTGATCTTAGCTAAAAGGCCGAAAAGGTGTGATTATTATTTCTTTAGCTCTATAGTTTTATAAGAAGCCTTTATGTAATTATTTTTATTTAAAATTAATTTGGGACTTTGTAACTTGAATTAAATTCTTTTTATATTTTGTTAATTTGAATTAATTTTAATTTTATTAGGTAATTTTGAGTTTTATAGAATTTATATCAATTAATAAATAAATACTGAAATTCTGAAACACTGAAACATTTTGCACATTTAATAATATATATATATATATATATATATATATATATATATATATATATATACAGTCCCGTTCAGTTGTTCCCTGATGTGCAGGGAGAAATATACGCGACTTATATTTCAGTCGTTGAATTTCATCCAATAATTGAAATTGAGAACAACTATTTTAGTTGTTTCTTGTTTTAAGACTCCGATTCTAAAACCACTCAATTTGTGCGTTTTAAATAAAATAAAATACCTTATAATAAGGAAGTATTAATAATGAAAAAATTAAACAAATACTTCCACTAAAATCGTGGAATCCTTCTATTATGGAAAAAAACAAAAATGGATTTCTTTTGTATTCATTGTTTGGATTTCTTACAAACTCTGCAAACAAGTTTTGAATATCATCTAGCTTACTATCAAATGCATGAAACTCTTTAGTAATTACATTTAGTTCTCTGTTTTTTTAAGCTTGTTACTAATTGGACTGTGGATTCTGTTAAAGATTTAATAGAATCTGTAATAATTCTTCATTTAGTACTTGTATATCTTTTCAAGGTTGGATTTCTTTTTCATTTAATGGTCTTACTAGATTAGTACTATTTTTGTCAATTTAAATAAATTGTATTTCAATAGTAAAAGAGCCTAATATGGAGGGCTAACTACTGGGGGTTATGTTTGTGTTTGAAAAATGCTGTAATGCTGTATTGAAATGTATATGTTCACCTTTATTTACCCATCATTTGTCTTGCTCAAAAACATTGGCCACTAGAGTTACTAACAAATTTTCTTCAGTACATATAGAGGAACATTTATAAATAAAAAATGTCATTCATCAATTAGTTAAGGTGGCCTTATTCAAATTACATTTCATCAAAATTTTAATAAAATTTTTCAAAAGACACAATATAAGAAGAGAGACTTAGGAATTTTTTTTTCCTTAAGGAAGGTTTTTTATTTTATTTTATTTTTCAATTTCGTTGAGGAAGATTGGTTGTTTTTTTTTTTTTTTTTTTTTTTTTTTTTTTTTTTTTTTTTTTTTTCGTTAAGGAAGTGTTAAAGGTTTTTTTTGTTTCTCTCTTTTCAATTTTCTTTTTGGTTAGGTGGAAACAACTAGAAAAGAAGAAAATTTTTAATTTTTTTTAGAGTTTGGATAGATAAAAAGAGAAAACTAATGGAAAAGTTTGTTTCCATACTTTTATTTTCTCTCAAAACTTTTCATGCACAAAACACAGGGAAATAATTTTTTCGCCTAAAATGTTTGCCTTTTTATTTGACATTCCTATTTTACCCATTAACTCAATTGTGAAAAACAATTTATTCCTTTATTTTTGTACCGGATTTCTAAGATGCAAGTTATCTGCAAAACAACTTTTTCTTTGTTTTTTTTTCCCTCACCCCTTTTTTTTTTTTCACGAGTTCATATATAACTCGCAACAACAAAATACAATCAATCTCTCCGTGTTTTTTTTAAGTTTTATTTCTCATACACTAATAATTAGTTCTACTTCTGCCTTAGAAAATATTATGAAGTCTTATTTTAAATATAAATAAATTATAAATAATTATATTATTAAATTTAATAAACCATTATTTTACTATTTCCTTGCTAAAATATACATCAACAAATACAAATTCATTTATTTATTAGTATTTAAAATTATAAGGGTAAATTTGGTATCTTCAATCGATTTTTTTTTTTTTTTTTTTTTTTTTTTTACTTTCATGCTATCTAAAATAACAAATTAATATTTTTCTACAATTTTCTTGAATAAATTTTCATTCTAACCAAATGTATGTTAGAAAATAATTTTTTTTTCAACTCACTTCACTTTTCTTTCATTTTCCATTTCTTTTCTTTTCTTACTTATTTCCATCTAACCAAAAGAAGTCTTAAGAAAGGTTTTTATTATTATTATTATTATTATTATTTTTATAAGGTATTTTATTTTATTTAAAACACACAAATTGAGTGGTTTTAGAGTCTTAAAACACCAAAACAACTAAAATAGTTATTTTCAATTTTAGTTTTATATATATATATATATATATATATATATATATAATTTGAGTTGATTATGGATGCACTCTGTACAAATGTTCATTTTATGCAATTAAAGGACCTTGCATTATTACACATATAAATTGAGTTGATTACAGCATCAATTAATTTCGGATTGAATTATTCCTAAGCATATAATATTCTAGAAGCTTAATGTTCAAAAAAAATTACAAAGAAAATATGAGAATTAATTCTCCAAAATATTAGTATACAATAAACCAAGATTTAAACAAAAATAAAATTGAAAAGAAAAGGGTGATGTTGTTTAGGAGTTATATTTCAATCAATGCTCCAGTTATTTTGAACTGAATTTTAATTAAAATTTAATTTATTAATAAATTAATCTAATTAACTTTTGACTTTAAAATAATACAAAATTCACATCTAAATAAAAAATAACGGTATAATTTAATGACATTATAATAATATCATTTCATACTCATCTAATTCCGTAACTTATTATTGGTGACATTATTCACACAGTAATTGTCCTTAGAGAGAGGAAAAAACGAAAAAATAAAAAACAAACAAAAAATTAAATTGTTGGAAGCAGCCCATTATATGTAAGGGTAATGCTAGAGCGAGGGCGTTCTCATAAGAGTACCCACGAGCTCTCCTTTTGCAGCCGTTGGATGAAATTTCCTAGAAATTCTCGAATGCCAGACAAACGTCGTCAGTTTCACTCCTCCTTTCCCTAAAAAATCACTCTGCACAACTCTCCATCCCCAATTTCTGTAAAGGTGTGTTTGGTAGGGTTGGTTTAGAGAAATAGGAAGAGAAAAAAAAAGAGAAGATAGTGTAAGTTTGTGTTTGGGTAAATTAAGTGGAGGATAACTATCCTTCCTTATCTTTTATTTGTGTTCTCTTCAATTTTGAAAAGATAGGGAAAGATAGGAAGAGAAAACATAGGACTTTTAAGTAGTATTTTAATAATACCAAAATTAGGAAAAGGAAAAAAAGTAATTTGTTTACTAATTTTTTTTTTAATTTTTATTCTATTCAAATAAGAATTACTATAATTTATTTTCTTTTCTTCCTATTTGTCCAAACACTGATATAAAAATTAGACTCGTCCCAAAACAGAACAACCCAAACTTCTTGGACGACCACGACATCACCGCCGCAGCTTCACCACCGAATAGTCTGTGGTCGCCGCCGCTGTGGCCCGAACACAGCAATCCAGTAGTTCCATCACACGACGTCGCTGCTCCATCACACGACGTCGCTGCTCCGATCGTCGCCACCGAGCGCTGTAACACAGAAATCAAAACCCGCGGGTTGCTGTTGACGCCTCGGAATTATCGGGCTGCGGCGTCATAGGCACGCGCCGCCTATTCTGCCGTGTCGAAGGAAACCTAAATCAAAGATATACTCCACTGTAGAGTGATTTTTCAGAGAGAGAGGAGAGAGGAGAGAGAAGATGAGAGACTTCATTATCACTGAGAAAGTTAGTTCAGAGTTTTTGTTTTGGTGTTGATTGGTTGGTCTCTGTGCTTCGTCGGCGCCATAATTAGGGGTGTAAAAGATTGACAGAAATCGATCACCGTCTGTGAAAGTGATTGTGATTTGGGTTTGCCCAGCCCTTGATATTTTGATTCGGGGGTTTTATTTTTCTCTTGCGACCCAATTTGGAGGATAGTAACCGGAGGGACAATACAGTAGCCGAAGACTTCTCTGTGTGTTGGCGTCTCTTCATCATCGACGAGTTGTCTGTCAGATCGTGAAATTTCCGATCTGTTTCTTCGTGCCGCGACCTCATTTTTTGCTATCGCCGGAGTTTCCTTTCTGTCGTCACCCTGTGTTGTGTCCCTAGCTTCATCACCGGTCGTCTTCTTGCTTCATACATCGGCGCAGGTGTTTCTAGCTTCACGCGACTCGGTTCGTTGGTCGGTGGCTGCCGTCTTTTGTTTCTGGCCGGTAGTTGCAGCTTTCGTTGAAGAAGAAGAAGAAGTGGTTGTGCGGTGTTTGGCTACAGGGGTCTGCTATCCCAAACCCAGAGAAAAAGAGAGTTGCAGAGTGGTTTTTGAGAGACAGAGAGACAGGACAGACAAGAGGAGTTGACGGCGTTTGTCTGGCGTTTGTGAATCTGTAGGAAACCTCATCCAACGGCTGCAAAAGGAGAGCTCGTGGGTACTCTTATGAGAGCGTCCTCGCTCTAGCATTACCCTATATATAATGTAATACAGTTTTGGGTTGAGCCGTAGCCCGCAGGTGAAGTCTTTCCAGCTCCAGTACAGGGTTTATCTTCAGTTTTTTTAACAAATGAAATCAGAGTCCAAATTTATCAAATGAGCGCAGGTATGAAATCACCTCTCTCTCTCCTTTACATCATTCTCTTAGGGTTGCGTTTTTCTAGTCTTCCTCATCTCGTTGCCATATCTGATGTTGATGATGATGATGATTCATTTGATTCAATAGGTATAATAACTAGGTTTTTTTTTATTTTTTTGATCTCACCCTAATTGGTTGCTACATATAACTTCGATATTATTAATTGAGCTATCGAATCCTTACAATATCTCACTTGATATATATATACTACACACATATATCTTTAATGTGTCCTCTACTATTGAATTTCATGTTTGTAAATCCGATTGAACGACCAAACTAGAAAGTCACGATTTAATTTTGTTTTACTGTAACACCAATTTAATGTTATTGAAAACCCAATATCCATTTGATTGATAATTCTCACTGGTGAAAACTCTGATCTTTTGGGTACCATCAATCTGCAATTTTCTGCAAAAACCTCTACTCTTACCGGCACTGCGTTTACTTGAATTATGCTTGTGAATGATGGTCGGTTTATAATCAATTTTTGGCCTGAAACAAACCTGCCCACTTCCTCTTGTTGACACATTAAAAACAGTTGATTTGTGTCTCTCTACACAAACATTGAGAGAGAGAGGCAGAAGTGAAGATTAAGTCCTATATTTTATACACCTTCAAGTCAAAAAGTAAATGAGAAATAGATTCATCGGGCATCGATATAATCACGACGAGAATCACATACATGGTCAACTTGGCGTTCTATAAGAGAGCCGATAGGTGTAAGGTGTGAAGTGTGAATGTACAAGTAAAGGACACAAAAATAAGGACACAAAATAAAGATGAGACTATGATGGCTGAAAAAGAGTATAGCTCAACTCTCCATTTTTATGTATACACTAGATACATCTATTTATATGTAATGTGAAATTGATTACAAGCATATATCATCATCATTATTTCCTTTTTCCCAAATTAACGGGGGTCATCTAGATTTCAAGCATATATAGAGAAGTAAATTGCAAGAGTCAAAAAGAAACTACTTCAATAAAGCTATACTTTTTTATGTGCATGAATCCAATTATAGAACCCTTTATCCGATGCTGGGTCTCAATAAAGGGTGAAATGTAACTGCCCATGTACCAAATAGGATATGCCCTCATGTTCTATTGCTCTATGTATAGCTTTGATGGGGTTGATCATTTTACTAACCAAATTGGCCTTCATGTGATATAACTGCTGACACTCTCATTTTTATTTATTTTTCATAATCTTTATACATGTGAAAGAAAAAAGAACCTTCTCATAGATGTGGTTCAACATTTGTGTGTTTTCTTTCCATTTTTCTTGTTGTATTAGGAAACACCATATTTATTTTTGCAGGCGGAGCTTTTGGTGGGAATAGGGGAGCGAGTCCAGTACCACCAGAAAAGGGAGTGTTCCCTTTAGATCACATGCATTTATGTGACCTGGTAGTCTCTTCTTCAAAAATTTCCAGACACTGATTTTTAGTTCTGATACTATGTTTTTTAATTGTCTATATATATATATATTTATATATATATATATTCTCTGATATGATGTCCTCATTATCGCTCTGTTCAGGAGAAGAAAGAATACATCACTTGCTTAAAGTCTTCTGGACATAAATCTGAAAAGTGCAGGAACTTCTCAAAAAAGTACCTGGAGTGTCGTATGGAAAAGTGAGTGAATTAGTTGGTTTTCTCTGAATATTTTAGTTTGCATCATACATGTGATTGTAATAAAACCTTTCTTGTGAAGTCATATCTAGAGTCATTGACTTGTGACATTTAATAAAATCATGTCTGATGAGGCTACTTGTATGCTAGGCCTAAATGTTGTTTAACCTGATGGCAAGATGTTTTAGTGCTTTATCAAAAGGCGTTACGTACTCCAATTCACATCACCGAACTTGTTGTAGTTTTGTGCTTTACTGCTTATACTACAGAGGTCATCTCTCAGTTTCAGTTCACATGTTGTATTAACTCTTAGTTATTTTTTATTACTGTAATCATAAAGACCTACGAAATCTACCAATCTATAGTTAAGGGGAAAAAAATGACCATTCTAAAATGCTGTGAATAATGATGATGATGATGATGATGATGATGATGATGACGACAACGACTCTGGTTCTGCCTCGTTCTTGTTACAACCTCTCGTATATGTAAGCCAATTTTAGGGTAATATAACTTTTAGGAGACAATTATGCATCTTTATCTTATTTCTTTTCCATATTTACAGCTTGATCTTTGTGCCGTATTATGTGGACATCTTTATCAAAATTAGGTTTTCTAGAAAATGATGATAGGTGAACAATGCTCAATTTACTAATTGGAAGGACTAAATTTTGTGCTGTTTTGTTGCTATGATGCAATTTGATGCAGTCATTTGGCAATGTCATTCAAACGACTGAAGAAGCAACCAAATAGGCTTCGGTAGTACCGTTTCCTTTACCTACGCATTCATTGGACCATCTTTTCTTTTCCAGTTATGAAAACACAAGGCAGAAAGAAAGTCTAGGGCATACCCTTCGACTACGAGAATCAAGTAGTAAAAACATTAAAAATAGCTTGCAAATCAGCCAAAGAAATAGTCAGAGAGGTGAGTCCTTCATGGCAGGCATCTCTGGCTACTACATCAGCTGTGGAGGGATCTCCACCATGCAATACCTTATTTCTGTGATCCCAAATACTCCGTTTAATGGAAGTGCAAAAGCATTTCTGAAGTTTGCTTCTCATGGAGCTGTCCTTAGTTTTGGAGATGAACCAGATTATGGCTTCAGAAAAAGAAGATGAAGTTAAGAGCTCTCCCCATTTGCAAATGTCACTAAACCACTCCCATAGTTGTTGAGCAAATGGGCAAGACCAGAAGAGATGAACATTACAGTCCTCATCATTATAGCAGTTGTGGCAGATAGCAGTGAGTGTGATCCCTTGCTTCTTGAGATGAACAAGGGATTTGTTGGCCTGCTGCATAACTAGCACAACAAATAAAGAAATGCGTGGTCTGCTATCATAACATACTAGTGTATACCAGGTACACTAGTACCATGATGTCTAACACAGGTTCCATGCAGCCTTGAAACTAAACTGTCCATTGTTCCATACTATCTCATCTTCTACAGAATGGTTGTTGAAGGGACTTAAGAACTGAGAGATTTCCAATGGCCATGAGGAAGGCACAATCCACTCAGAATTATGCCGAAGCACACTAAGCGTATCATCATGATGAAAGCCTGTAATAAGATACCTTAAACCAAATCTCTGTTGAAGGGAAGTCCCTCCATACCAAGGATCAAAGAATAAGCTGAAAGATGTACCATTATGAATTCGGAATTCCAAAAACTGCAGCATTGTTTCCCTGACAGAAAGTATGGCCCTCCAGATTTCTGAGTCTGAGGTTCTGCCCTGCAAGTTCCAGAAACAGGTCTTCCTGAGATATTTATCTCCGAACCACCTTGTCCAGAGGGCTTCTTTAAGCTGAAGGAAGTCCCATAACAACATACACTTGCTTACATTGGAGATAACTTTGTAGGCAAAGTGACTTTATCCCAACCAAACAGAGGGTTTACCTTTTGATCAGCTTTCCCAGACCATAACATTGTCCCACTTTCTTCTCAATGCAATGTTGAACACTGATTGGAATGGAGAAAACAGTGGACCAGAAATAGTAGTAAGAGGTAAGAACTGATTTGATTAATTCCACTTTACCTGCTAATGAAAGGTTGAAAGAGTTCCATGCTGTCAGTTTTGAATCGATCTTGTTAGTCAATTTGGTGCAATGGGATTTAGTCAATCTTCTGTCCACCAATGACAAACCTAAATATGTAATGGGTAGAGAGCCCTCTGTAAAATTCAGGATGTTTTTTATGCTGCTTTTTTCTTCTTACAGAAGCAGAGAAATAAACCTCATTTTTTTGAGTAATAACACTCAGACCTGTGAAGTCTGAGAATTGCTTCAACAGAGCATTGAGACCTCTAGCATTTGGAATACTAGCTTGAATGATCATGAACAAGTCATCTGCAAAAAATACATGTGAAAGCTGAGTGTGTGATACTTCTGGACGGCCTGACAAAGTTGCAGATCACCTCTTTGAACACCTTTGTTAACCATCTGAGAGAAAAAATCAGTAACAAGACAAAATAGCAGAGGTGAAAGAGGGTATCCTTGCCTCTAACCTCTCCCAGCCTTGAAAAACCCTTCTGGCACACCATTAACAAGGATTGAGAAATGGGCGGAGTGACACACTTCATGACTCAATCTGTCCAATTCTCACCAAAACCATACCAGATTAAAATATATTTTAGAAAGCTCCAAGAAATACTGTCAAAGGCCTTTGTCAAATCAATCTTCAATGCCATTGTGGGATGTGTACTTTTGGAGTTGAAACCCTTGAGGAGGTCATGAGCGAGTATAATATTCTGATGAATTTTCCTCCCCTTGATGAAAGCAGCTTGTTCAAGATCACCACAGAACCAATCACAGAGGCTAATCGTTGGCCAAAATTTTTGTGATAAATTTATATATAGAATTACACAATGAAATAGGCCTATAATCAGTGATCTTCAGACAATCATCCCTTTTAGGAATAAGAGTCAAAAAGGCGCTGTTTACTCCTTGAGGTAGGTTGCAGTATAAGAAATAGCATATAGCAGCAACCAAATATGATTTTAGCACAATTCAAAATTGCTGGAAGCAGGGGTGGCTCAATATAATTTGAGGCCTTAGGCAAAAAAAATAAAGTTTCAATTTAATAGAATCTACCCATATGTTCATGCTAGTATCTTTTTTCGTTACTAAGTGGCTGATTGAATCCATCCCTTGACTATACCCTCCGCTAGCATTTCGTTTTGACCCCCAAGGGTGGAGTGTCATCATAATGAGTCCAATAGCCATGGTTAGACCTTTCAAAAATGTTACATACATATTAGCTGTTGTACAGTATTGTATGAGTTGTCACATGTGTACAGTTAATATTATATGAGTTGTCACCTACCCCTCATTACCATATATACAATTACCATGTATAGGATTTTCTTGTTCTCCACTCAGCTACTCCCGTAGCTTCTCCTATATAAACACCATTGTATTATTGTATTACAAACTTAATAACATATACTTTTTCATATATTCTCTCTCTCTTTCAAGTTTCAACATGGTATCATAGCGGAAATCGATCCCTCTTTAATTTTTTTTTTTTAGTCTTATTTAGACTCTGATCTTGATTCCATCTCGGCTTTCTCTCAATCTCTTCTCAGCGATCTCTCCTCGGTGATCTCAGTTCTTGTCTCAGCAATCTCTCTCGGATCCCTCCTCGGCTCTCTCCTCGATGATTTCTCTCGGGTTCATCTCGGCTAGATCTTGGTTCTCTTATTTCGGCTCCCTCTCACTACTATATCTCATTTGTTCAGCAACTCTTATGATGGATACTAAGGAATCCCATATTCTTGGGTCAATCACCAGCACCAAACTAGTAAAGCGTGAGCGTGCAAATCAGCCCTCCTCCACCTCTACTATCGTTACTTCAGGTAATACGTGTCTCCATGCTTCATCTTCTACACCTTGGATCATTGATTCAGGGGCATCTGATCACATGACAGGTAACCCATCTCTTCTTTATGATATTTCTCATGTTTTCTCACCATCGGTTGTTACTATAGTGAATGGTGCCAAATCATCTATTCATGGAATTGGTACCTTCCGCACTTCGGGTCTCACTTTTTCATCAGTTTTATATGTCCCTCCATTTTCATTCAATTTGTTGTTAGTTCGCAAAATCATATCAGATTTAAATTGCTCAGTTACTTTTTGTCCTTCCCGTTGTGTCTTTCAGGATCTTAAGACGAAGAAGACGGTTGGTGGGGGATTTGAGAAGGATGGTCTTTACTACTTCTAGCCAACTGCTGCTCCGACCGCTCTACATTCCACCTCCTCTTTAGCTTACCAGTGGCATTGCCGCCTTGGACATCCCTTTTCAAATAGTCTTCAAGCCTTGGTCCCTTCTTTAGTTGATTTTTCTAAGTTTAATTGTACTACTTGCGAACTTAGTAAACATCGTCGGGCTACTTTTAAGTCTTGTTATGATAAAAATTTAAAACCTTTTGAGTTAGTACATTCAGATGTTTGGGGACTAGCTCGTACTACTGGTTTATTTGGTGCTCGTTGTTTTGTGTCATTTATTGATGATTATTCACGTTTATCTTGGGTTTATATTCTTAAAGATAGATCTCAAGTATTCTCTATTTTTCAATCCTTTTATGCTGAAATTCAAAATTAGTTTGATGCAAAATTACTTGTTCTTAGAACTGACAATGCCCTTGAATATCAACTTAATGTTTTTCAAAAGTTTCTTGAGTCGAGGGGCATTATCCATCAAACATCTTGTGTTGATACCCCTCAACAAAATGGAGTTGCTGAATGGAAGAATAGCCCACTCCTAGCTATCGCTCGTGCCTTAATAATTCAAATGCATGTTCCAAAACATTTTTGGGCAGATGCAGTTCTGGTTGTTGCTCATCTTTTAAATCGCATGCCTTCTAGGGTCCGTCCAAATGATGTTTTCTGACAAAAATCCTTTTTCCATTCCTCCAAAGGTGTTTGTGTGTGTCTATTTTGTTCATAATCTAAGCCCAGGACGAGACAAACTTGATCCTCGTGCTCACAAATATATTTTCTTAGGTTATTCTCGCACTCAAAAGGGATATAAATGTTAGTCCAACTCTTCGTAAACAATTTGTGTGTGCAAATGTAACTTTCTTTGAGGATGTTCCTTATTGTTCTCAGGAAGGCAGTCGTCTAGAGGACTCTGTTTTCAAGAGGTTGTTTTTCCAACTCCAGTTTTTGATTCTGATATCCCACTAGCTCTTCGTGTTTATGCTCGTCGCCAGAAAAGAGTAGTTAATCATGTTCCAACGACTGAAGTAGTAAACCCAGCCTTGCCACTTCCACCAGTCGCTTTAATGCCTGAAGATTCTTCCATCTCTTCGGACTCTGATCTTGATCAACCTATTGCTGTTCGGAAAGGTAAGCGTTCTTTTACCAATCACCCTATCTCTAATTTTGTATCGTATAATAAATTGTCCTTCTCCTTTCCTTTTTCTTTGTCATTATCCTCTATTGCTCTTTCTAAGTCCTACAGGGAGGCACTTTTTCATCCAGGGTGGAGGAAAGCTATGGAAGAAGAAATAAACACTTTAAGATTGAATCATACTTGGGACCTTGTTCCTAAGCCTGCTGATACTTAGGTTGTTGGTTGTCGTTGGGTTTTTACTGTTAAACAGAAGCCTGATGGTAGTATTGATCGTCTCAAAGCTCGACTTGTTGCTAAAGGCTACACTCAGACTTATGGCTTTGATTATACTGAGACGTTCTCTCTTGTGGCCAAACTGAATTCTGTTCGTATGATAATCTCTCTTGCAGCTAATCTAGACTGTCACCTTCATCAACTTGATGTTAAAAATGCCTTTCTGCACGGTGACCTTAACGAGATAGTCTATATGACTCAATCACCTAGGTTTGAGTATAAGGGGGAGTGTGTGTCATCTCAAGAAGTCTATCTATGGCCTTAAATAGTCCCCTCGTGGATGGTTTGATAAGTTTTGTAAAGCAGTGGTAGCTCATGGTATGACCAGAAGCCAAGTTGACTACTCTCTCTTTTTTAAGAAAACGAAACGTGGTATTGTGATTCTTGTGGTGTATGTAGATGATATTGTTATCACTCGCAGTGACAAAGATGGGATACAAGTTTTAATCCATCACTTGAGTTCTAGCTTCCTTACTAAGGATTTGGGCAAACTTCGGTATTTTCTACGAATTGAGGTGGCTTGGTCAAAGCAAGGCATTAGTCTTTCTCAGCGGAAGTATACTCTTGATCTCTTACCGGATACTGGATATCTTGGTTTGAAACTTGTATCTACACCCATGAAGACTAATGTAAAACTTAAGGTGGATGATGGTGACCCACTCGATGATCCAGAGATGTATCGGAGACTTGTAGGTAAACTTATTTACTTTTTTGTTTTTTTGATAAGTAGGTAAACTTATTTACTTCACAATCACTCGTCTAGACATCTCCTATGCAGTTAGTGTTGTGAGCTAGTTCATGACCAGTCCTCAGGTACCTCACATGGAGGCGGTTGTACGCATCTTGAAGTATCTCAAGGGTGCTCCAGGACGTGGTCTGCTTTATTGATCTTCTGGACATCTTCGGATTGAGGGATATACAGATGCAGATTGGGCTTGTTCTCCTTCTGATCGATTGTCCACCACGGGTTATTGAACCTTCATATGAGGAAATCTAGTAACTTGGAGGAGTAAGAAACAGTCAGTTGTGGCTCGTTCCAGTGTTGAAGCAGAGTATCGTACCATGACACACTGCCTGTGGACTTACTTGGTGGAAAACTCTTTTACAGGAACTTGAGATTTCAGTCCAGTACCCATTTCCTCTCCATTTTGACAATCAGGCAACTATTCATATTGCTAGCAATCCAGTCTACCATGAGAGGACTAAACACATTGAAGTAGATTGCCATCTCATTCGATCTAAAGTTGACTCGAATGAGATTGTTACACCTTTTGTTCCTTTTGGCAGACAGCTGGCAGACATCTTCACTAAGGCACTTCCTAAGAACTCTATTGATTTTATATGTAGCAAGCTGGGAGTTTTTGATATTTACTCTCCAGCAGTGTTGTATGAGTTGTCACACGTGTATAGTTAGTATTGTATGAGTTGTCACCTACCCCTCATTACCATATATAGAATTACCATGTATAGGGTTTTCTTGTTCTCCACTCACCTACTCCCGTGGCTTCTCCTATATAAACACTATTATATTATTGTATTACAGACTCAATAACATATACGTTTTCATATATTCTTTCCCTCTCTCTCTCTCTTTCAACATCAGCTGTGGCGCAAGTAGCGCTTTTCTCGGCTGGTTCGATTTCTGAAATTCTTAGACAGAATAGCCTCGCCACTTGGCGAACCAAAGACATCCAAAGAGAGAGCCTTGCATTGTGATTTTTAAACTTTAGCACTAATATTTTTTCAATCTCTATTTCCATCATTAGTATATTGGCTATGTGCTTTCTAATAGACATATTCAACAATATAAATAAAAATGATGACAACAATAAACAAAATATATAATTTTATAATAAAATTAATAAAATTATAAACTAATTTAAGTTATAGAACAATAGAAACTGATTTTGAAAATTTTGGTCCAATGATCCAACAAATTCTTCAATAGAATAGAAGTGTTGTATTCAAAGTCTTATTGTGAGATTGTAAATTGTAAGAGTGGAGAAGATGAAAAGAAAAAGGTTCTAATGAGAAGAGAAAAAATATGTGAGAAATAAGAAAAAAAGAGAAGATAGAAGTTAATAGGAGTATTAGGAAAATATAGAAAGTTTCACCAATTCCCACCACAATGGTTAAATATATAATGAGGAGAAATATGTGTGTGTGTGTGTGTGTGTGTGTGTGTGAGCTGATGTAATGAGGATGAGGAGAGACAGAAAAAAAAGGTAATATACGAATAGAAATATTTTGAATTTGGGGGCCCCTTAAGAAAAAGGAGAAAGGATAGAAATCTTTTAGGCCCGCTATCAGATCTCTCTGTTCGTTGAGATTTAATAATTAAAGGAAATAATTGTTTTAGGAAAGTTATAATATTTATTAAGAAATGAAAAATTATGAAGCCTTCTTATTGGTTGGGGCCTTAAGCGACCACCTAACTCGCCTAAGGCTCCAGCCGGCCCTGGCTAGAAGAACCTATCAGGAAAGGCATCCGGACCTGGGGCTTTATCAGGGGCCATAGACATAATGACAACCTTGATATCCTCTTCAGTCACAGACACTTGAAGGGATTCACAAGATTCACAAGAAAGCACAGACCTGGAAATGAGAAAAGTAGGAAGAGAGGTTGTACTAGCAGCATATAAGTCCTTGTAGTACTGGACCAACCAATCTCTAATGTGTCCTTGATCTCTGGAGCAAACCCCATCATTATTCTGAAGGATGGATATTGAATTGGAAGTCCTCCTCTGTTTCATTTTTCTGTGGAAAAAGGATGTACATTTATCATTGTCCTTGATCCACTGACTTCTAGATTTCTGAGCCCAAAGAATTTCCTCAAATTGAAGAGAGGATTCCAACTCTGCTTTCCTGCCTGTTCCAGATGAATGAGCTCGTCATTCAAAGGGTCTTCCTGAAGCTTAATTTGAACCTCCTCTAAGAGTCTTCTACAGCATTTCACTGCCTCGGGAATGGGGGGTCCAGATAAGTTCTGATTGCCTCTTTGACTAATCTCAACTTTTTCTGAAGGATATACATTGGGGTACCAGTCACCTTATTAGCCCAAGCATTAGATACTATGCCTTCCACACCATCCATCAAGCACCAAACTTTCAAGAATTTGAAAGGTTTGGGGCCTGAAGAACAGTGGGTGGATGAGGACAATACAAGTCCATAATGGTCAGAAAATGAAGAGGAAGATAACATCACCTTAGAGTTTGGGAAGAAATCCAGCCAATCAGTATTGACTACACTCCTGTCCAACTTGGCACAGATTCTTCTCTTAACAAATTGTTTATTAGTCCAAGTCCACTTGCCATTCAACATAGGGACCTCCTGAAGATCACAAGCATCCAGAACTGAATTTAATTCATCTAAGACAGTTTGAGGGACATGCTTACCACCAAGTTTGTCCCCATGGTTCATCACAACATTCCAATCACCAATGGTGAGCCATGGGCCACTATTGTTACTGGCTTGATTAAGTAGTGACTTCCATAAAAGTCTTCTCTCCCTTACTGTATTTGCTGCATAGATGGCTGAAAGAGAAAAATGAATAGGAGAATGTAGATGTTGTATCTTTACTAGCAGAACTTGAGCATCCTCAGAGACCACATCAACATTCAGGGACATGGGATTGCATCCAATCCAAGTACGGCAATTTGGATGACTGGCATAGTTTGCACACCATCTTCAGTTTCTATTAATTCTATTTGTAATTCTCTGGAAATTATCAATTTTAACTCTAGTTTCCACTAAAACAACAATCTGGATGTTAAAGTATTTTAAGCTAGAAATTTACCTCCTTGTGAGTGTTTTTTAGTATAAGGTTCCTTGCATGTTATTCACCAAAGAAGACGAAGACACCGTTGAGAACCATGTGTATTTGTTTTTCTTTTGGGACACACACACACACACATTTAGAGAGAGAACCTTGGTAACACTAGAAGTACCAAACATATTATTAAGCTTTTGTCAGGGTAAGTCCATATTACATTAGATCGTCTAGTTTACTCTTCATGAGTTAAGAAATGATGCTTGTGTTTCAAAATCTGGCTTGCCTTAAGTTGCTTCAGGTATCAATTTAAAGTAGAAGGCTAATTTAATTTTTGGAGCTAGTCGAGTTATTTGATTCCCTGCAAGAACTGCTTGTGAAATTAATTTCAAATAGCACCATTCTAGCCTTATCTGACTGCTGACCAAGTCAGTCAATATAATAGAAATTTGTTGATCATATCTGTGTCACTGTGATAAGGCATACTTATGTTGTTCAGAGAGGTTAGTACATAAAACTTTCATATCTGTGATGTTTCACTCTCTTTTAGGGTGCCTTTCAAAAACTTCAAGAATCAAGAAGAATAACAATGAGAATTGAGAATGATTGGTGTTTGTGAAACATCGAACTGTATGATTACTGCCGAATGAGATTATACTTGATGATCATCATAGTGTATTCTTTTCCCCATTCTTAAAAACTGTCATGCATTTGTTCAATCAGTCCTTTCCAACTTTAAGAAAATGTTTTATCTTGTACTAACAGCCTCTCTCTCTCTGTGTCTGGTGCCTTTCAGGAACTTGATGGCAAAGCAAGACATGTCAGAACTTGGCTTTGGTAAGGAACCCAACATGGAAACTACCGGTGAAAAAGAAAATAATAAATAACTGAAATCTCATCACTGGATTTTCAAACTATTTTTTAGGGGGGGGGGTTTTATGATTGGTTTATTTTTTTTTTTAATCATGGTAACACGTGAAATTATATGAATGCAGAGAGTTTAGAGTTGTTTGTATTATGAACTTATTGAGCAAAGTTGAAATTTGTTTCTGCACATCCATAAATTGACATCTTTATTTCATTGCACAAGGAACTGTGGAAATGCACAACTGCCAACAATTACAATATTATTTTATTTTATTTATTTATTTTGCCTTAGACAAACTAGGAGTGTGACTCAAACCCGGACACACCGACACTCCACCTGAGCCCTCTACCAACTAGGGGGATATTGCCCGTCAGTTACTCTTGTAATGAGCAGACTGACATTACTTAGAAAAATCTGGCTTCTCTGTAACACTCCCTATAGAGATGAGTCATCTCAATTATTTGGAATGACTAAAAGAAAATCAACCTTAAGCGTACCCAACACTCCTCGAAAACCATTCTTGCATATACGTATTGATGCTTCTGAAGCATATTCATAATTTAATTTTTATTTTTTAATTTTTTTAGTTTAGACGCGTATGTGATACTACTTCTCACACACTTTTATCATTTATTCAATACTTTTTAGATGTTGAATGACACACATTTAACAAGTCTTAAATGCTAAAGGTGTAGAAATATTTAAAAAAAATTTAAAAATATAAAATTATTAAGATATATATATTATGGCTAATTTAATTTAAAATGTATCGATGTAATATAATTTTCAACTATCAGCTTGTCTTTCAAAGTGGATAGTAAAGATTTTGAGTCTTTGAAGGAGTAAAGTGGGTGTGTGAGTTTTTTTTGCCAGTGACCAAAAAAAAAAAAAAAAAAAAAAAAGACAAGAAAGAAAGCTTATTTCTCTAATCTTTCATAAATAAATGTTAGTTTTAAAACAAATTATGTTAAAACAAAAGTTGTATCACTATACTCATTTCGTGTAATCGTATATTTTTTCATCCGACACCTCACAGTACGACGCATTGCTGGAAAACGCCATAGCACGAGACACAGAAAACGAAGAAATCACCAACGATGCGACATCATCTAAAATCTCCAGTATCCACAAACACCCACCGATCACAAAAAGGCGCAGATATATCAGGAAACGAGAGCTTGCCCACCGGAAGAAGAAGTCCTGCAACACCCTTTCCATGGTCCAAAATTCAATGGCTACAGAAGTATGCACATCGCTGCCGATCGGGTGGCCCGCCACAGAGAGACAAACAGCAAAAATAGAAAGTTAGCACAAAATGTAACCAAGAAAACTGGAACAATGCCCGGATCAAAGGTAAATAGCGGCAAAGATGGAGCCACAATCCTTCCACCGCTCAGATAGCCAAATTTAATGACCAACAGCTCACCGGAGCCCCTTCGGCTAGACAATACGAGCTGCAATAGGTATGGAAGTTATCCCACAGAAAAAACACCTTGGAAACATCTCCATCTCTAATGAACAGAGAACTCGACGGGGTGAGGATCTGAAAAACTCTGATTAATAGAGAACATGATCATGGAAAACTCTGGTGAACAAAGAACACTGACCAAGAATTTAATAATCTTAGAAGAATTTTGGAGGAAAGTGCAATGATCTAAGTCCGAATGTTGTCTCTCTCTACTTTTCAACCCAAACTGGAACCAACTATTAAATCCAAAAACCAAACCAATACATACAAAACGGTTGTAACAGTTTTCAACCCACCCTTAATTCGATGAAATGCTTACTAAACCTTTTCTCCCGTGTACCATCTTTGTGATCATTTTTTCACTATTTTCCTTTCCTGTTGACAACTGCATATCGTGAAAAAAAAAATAAAAAAATAAAACGGGAGAATTTAGAAGATGCATGGTCAGTCATGATGGGATACTGTTCAACTGCCGAAGAGAAACACCCACCAATATAAATCCTTTCTATACAGCCAAACAAACAACATATTGCTATCCATTGCCTGTCTGGGATACATGTGCCAGAAGTACACTTACAAAATGTAATTAACCAAATAACCAAGAAAAAGGAAAAGAAAAAGAAAAGAGAAAGGGAAGAAAATAGAACACTAAAAATTCGTTACAAGAGATTTAAACAAACTGCTCAACCACACACACTGTCTTCCATCTCAGAATTCAAGAGGATGACGGTGAATTTCACCTCTCCTACCAGTTCTGGGATCTTCTCTGGATTTTACCAATTACCATGCAGTTTCCAAGAGAACATGATTCTTAATATCTGCATACGGAGCATTATTGCAAAAGAATATCTAATGTAGCTGAAGGAAAAACCTGGTTCAATCATAAATAAGCTGCCGTTGGAGTAGAGCAAGGTCCTACTTGGTCAAAGCATGAGCTCCAAGATTCAACCCACTCTCTTAGGATCACGAGCTGCAGCCAGATGATCCTGGCACAATGGAAATTTTACGAACACAATCAGGGGAGTCGTCGGATGTGATGATGCCATTACATTTTAAGGGAAGCTGAAATAAACAAGCGTAAAGAGAATCTTTCTTTTCTCAATGGGGATAACCAATATTAAACTCCAAATGAATCAAGGTGGTGGCAAACAAGCAGATCTTGTAATTGATCAGTAGCTTATATATGCCACAATCCAAAATCCCATTTAAAAAGAGAAGAAAGAAGAAGAAGAATTAAAATTAAAAAAAAATATATAAAAAAATTGAAAAAGAAAACAGAAAGATGCCGTTGGAAGAACAAAAAATTTTGAAGGCGACAACTCAACTAGGAGCACTGTCGTTGACCTTGAGAACAAGTACTTGATAAATTCTTCCCAAAATTCATAATATAAAGCTGGTACCAGAAAGAATTTGTAAAGAGAGAGTACTCAAACTTACTGAGATAAAATCAAATGCTTTAGTATCCTCTTTCTTCAAACTGTTTATCATCGAAATGGGATTTTGAGTTGGAATGCTAGGATTAAAAATGTCAGGAAGGGCTGAAGAATATGCCACTCCTCCAGTTCCAGCAGCATGACTGGCACCAGCATTATGCATGTGGAGGTTCCCCAACTGCTGGAAGTTGGACATTGTTGCTAGGAACTGTTGCTGTGCAAATAAACTTCCCATGGCACCATAATTTATTGGCTGAGAAGGAAAAGCTGGATTGAACAGTATGCCAGGTGGTAAATGATAAGGCATAGTACCCAAAGGAAACATAGCATTTGCATTCATCCCGTCTGATTGAGAACCAAGTATGCCATTCAAAACTTCGTTAGAAACCTGATGTCTAGGACTCACAGAGGAATCTGAGAACACAGTTGGTGAGAGTACTCTAAGGGAGGCTCCATTCTGCTTCACTGATGCATTTTCATTGACGGACAAACCAGCCATAAAATCATTAACATCTTTGCTATGTTTCCCTTGCTCCTGTTGAAGTTCAGAAGTCGACCCAAAAATATCGAAAAGTTCAGGAGCATTATTGTTTGCAGCAGTACCGACTTCAACAGCCCCTGGTTTATCAACAGTCATCCCAGAAAAGTGATCAGCTACGTGCTCCTTATTATTGCTGGTATGGAAAGAGACATCTGCAAATGGGTCGTCATCATTTTTATGTTCATTTGTGCTCACACCAGTACCAAAACTATCTCCAAATAAATCATTGATTAGCGCGGTGGTTGATGATGATGTATTTCCAATGTTTTGACCGCCTTGCACTTTCATAGAATCATCTGTTACATGCATGTCATCTGGATCACTAGCATCTATCAAGTCAGGCATCAGAATGGCAGTTGTCTCAGCCTTTAGTGGCTTTTCTAGATGTCCCTCCCTGGTGCCAAGTCTGTCCCCATCCAGAAGGCTTAAAACCTGTCCAAAGACCACATGATTATTAAACTGATATACTCCAGGAACTAACAGATTCTTCAGCAAGCTATATATTGGTATTCACCATCACCGCAAAAAGTTAATAATTGAATCATTCTTGTATAGTGTAAAAAGAATCAGTGGTCTTCTTTATAAGAGAAACATGAAGAATATAAAATGAAGGAAAATAAAGTTAAATTTCGTTAGAACTACATCATTTATGAATCAGAAGCTAAAAATTGCCTTCTCAACCAGAAATCAAAAATTGGACAACTCTCAGAAATTTCAGGCCAATGCCATATAGTTTTCGAGGCCAGTTGCTAAGTCCTGGCTTGAAAAGGGTTGCTACTTCTTCAAGCCTTCAGAACCCTTTACTGAGCCACTAATGGTGTATTTTATTAAATTGGTTTGAAGCACTAAAATGTGAAGGAAAGAAGATTCAACTCAACATCGGATGGATTTAAGGGCAACTAAGGGAGAAGATGTTGGTATCACTGGAAAACCTCCAATTATTCACCAACTGTGACTTGTCAAAATAAATATATACTCACCGTGTATCTCTTCCAAGTTCGAAGACAAAAACCTCCAATCAAGTTCTTATTTTGTCTTCAGTTACAAAGTTAAACTGAGAGAAGGAAAGATGGCCTCCCTGCCTATCACGGATACATAGAACTGACTTTTGGATACTTTAATCAATAATGCATCATAAACAGAGGATAGATCATCGAATCAATTCCAACAATGAAGTTTCAATTCTAGAAGTAGAGACATGACTTCTAATTTATTATTGTCCTACTCTTTCTTAAGGTACATAAACCCCGTATCTTAAGATTTTTCCACTCCAAAAACTCAATTGCAACTAGAACTGCATCCAAACCTGTCTGCCTTTTGTAAAGAGCTCCATGAGAATCATAGATGCTGTCACCAAAGGCTTTCCCAATCCCAGAAGAGGAGACCTCCATAATGATTTTGTAATAATACACGTAACTGAAGTTAATGGATTAGATATCTCCAAGACCTAGAGGGATATTTGTTTTTCATGGAACAAGTATAGAACAATTGAAATTGTATTCTGCTTATAATTCTTCTAATATAGACTATAGGATATCTCCAAGGCCATCTATGAAGTCTTCACCTTAATTGTAAAAGAGCCAGGGAATGACCATACAGTCTCGGTGCTTCTTTTTATCAAAGATTGAAAAGCTAATTCCTATTGTCCTATGTCTAAGAAAAATAAAATGAGGGGCCTGTTGATACGAGAGATCGTTGCCCAAGGCGTCAGAGTAAGTGGTGACTTAGACCTAGAGGAGAGGGTGAATAAGTCTTATGGATTTTAGTTTGCAACTATCCTTCTGAATTAACATCAATCCTTGTCTAAAATTTAGTCAATTAATTGATCAAGTGTCTCAATTCCAATCATATAAACATATAAAGTAATAAATAAAATAAAGCGTAGACACATTATTTTTATGTGGAAAATGTTTAACAGGAAAAGACAATAGGAACCACCGATCAATGGCCCAACTTTACCAATCCCTTACTTTCCAAAGGAAGGTAAGAGGTTCAAACCTTAATGGAGGCATAAGTGTGTAAGTACCAGCTAAGAAAAAACAAAAGACCACAAGACCTAGTCCAAACAAATCAAAATCCACTATAATCTGTCTGTGAAAGAGGTAACTAGTTAAGTTACCAGACTCTAACCCAAGAATCACTAGTCCCTCCTAACTTAGACTTACGCAAGATTTTCCCAGATGATCCATGACAAACTACTACTCACACAATCTGCTTCTACATGGACTTCTAATCTCCATGATAAGTTGTGAGATATATATTTTGTAATTGGCTAATTTCTGCGTCAAAACAAGTCCGATCGAGTTGTATTTTCAAGTTCAAAATTCAAGATGAAGATCGGTTGCTGAATTGAAGAGATGTTCATGTTTGATAGATTGAGGTCTACGAAAAAGGTATGAATAACACTTTAGGAAGTTGAGTTAGAACGTTAGGACACTTTCATACATGGTATGTTTTCAAAATTTTCAAAACAGGAATTTTTTCTAAGTGTTTACACATTCAAGTTCAAGTCTGGCCAACTTGAACCGGTTCCATGCAGCTGAACTGGTTCAAGATTCATACTTTGAATCCAATTCAACACTGGCCATCTTGAACCTGTTCCAAGACCCTAAATCGGTTCAAGACCTTCTACAGATTTGGTAACGTTTGTTTCCTGTTTTGTCTAAACTTCCTATTTGATATAGATTTCTTTCCAAAAGACCTATGCACGAAATTAACTCTTTTTAAAACATATCTAGGTTTTTAAAAGTCTATATAAACATATTTTCTCATATAGGTTTTGCGTGGCTTTTGCATTAAAACTTCTGATTTCTTAAAAGCCTTTGAGAGAGATTTTGCAGAAAATCAAATCTGATTTTTCTGTTTTTATTTTTTGAACACACACATAAACATAAGAGTGATTTTAGAGTATTGTTCAATTCCTAATTGTGTTCAAAATCTATTGAATATTGCATCTACAACGATCAGAGAAAGCAGATCTATTTCTTCTACATCAAATTCAGATCTTAAAGAAAAGGGGTAAAGCGATCACACTATGGAAGGGTGAGAGCATTCGAGGAGTGTTGTTTGATCTACCATCAATCCTTCTACAAAGATCAAGAGTAAGCCTGGAGTCAAAAGCTATTGGACGGGACGTCGCAAAGCCGAAGATTGTCAGCAATTGGTTTTTGGTACAACGATAGGGTGTAAGCCTGAGTCAAAGTCCATTGTACTTTGTTTCATACATATTGGATCGTTTTGCCCTAGACTGCACAATCCACGAGATTTTTCCCACAACAATTGGTCTATTCTGCTAATTGGGGTTTCCTCGCTAAAAATCCTGGTGTCATCTCTCAAACTCTATTTACTTGCTTTTATTTTGCATGTGATTGTTTAATTATTTGCTAATCTAACTAAAGCCAATTGAGTTGAAAGACACTGATTAAATTCTCTCTGGATAAAAACTTAAACTTTCCACAACTTATTCCGCTGCACAAACTCACATAAGTGACATCTGATCTAGTCAACGTATTCTTTGCAAACCACTCAGTTTCCACTCCGATAAAAAAAATATATATATATCCTTTGATTCTCTTCATCACATATAATATATTAATCAATGAACAACCCTAGATTGATTCTCAAAACTCTCTCTCTACAGATATAATTTCTCTCAAGCATACATAAAGAGTTGAAAGCTCCACTAACTATATCCCATATTTGTAACCCATATAGATAGCCCATACATTTTAGGAGTGCTTCGATCAATGCTCTTGGTATTACTCCTACAAATTCAAACAGTCCCCCGATCAATCGACCTATCAATCAATCCCTGAAATGCTCAATCAATCAACAAACCATGTTGTTCAGGTTAAAACTCAATTTTGAAAAATGTTTAAATCCTTCAACTTCGACAAATACATTTTTCAGAAACTCATTTAAAACAAAACTTTGAGCCGCTCTAAAATCAATTGTCATTTTAGATCTTCCCAAGGTAAATTTATCTGTGCCATATATTAATTCTTTTTTTTTTTTTTTTTCCTTAGTTGGTACTTACACACTCGTGCCTCCACTGAGACTTGAACTCCTGACCTCACTTTGAGAACTAGGGGCTTGGTACGACCGCATATGTGAATAAGAATGCAGATTTCTCGCCGTGTTCTTCTGAAATCTGGGTCTTCCCTGACTTCATGTACTCGAATGATTCAAGACACTTTGACATATTAGAAACGAAAGTTTAAGTAGAAAATTGCCAACACAAACTTGTGTACCTAACAAGACTAATTAGGGCAATTTGGAAACTACAACTCATCAGGTAGACTCAAAATAAAGATTGAAAATATTCTCTTTCTCTGTTAAATAAAGATTGAAAATATGTTTTAAAAGTTGTAGGGCATCTTCATGCCTCGCTGGCACGTTGACTACAAACCTGGTAACAACATTTCCTTGTTCCTTATTATTTGCATCAATGTGAGAACATCTACTATCACTTTCTTCGATACTCTTAACTTCGATTTCTGCCCCAACTAATTCACTCTTAAATCAAGTCTCTTCAAAATAGCTTGTAATCTTACTCAGCTTTGGTACATTTATTTCTTTGAAGACTGACTCTTTTGAGATTCTTTTTTATATAAGGTATCACCTTGTCCAATCTATTCAGTCTCTCAATTTGCTTTGAAATGTTATCTTCGGTCGGACAAAAGGCCAACATTTGCTTTGACCAATTCTCCAATATGTTTTACATGGAGGTCACACAATTAAAGGAATTAGAAGAACATGGAAATGGTCAGAAAAAAAAAAAAAATAAAAAAAAATAAAAAAAAAAAAATAAAAAAATATTGACAAATCGTAAATTATAGTAAATGGAAAGGAAAAACAGTCAATAGATCAACAAGATTCTGGACCAGTTCTTTCATCGCTCCATAGGAACAGCACAGTTCTTTGAGGATGGATAACATTTATGATCTTAATCTTTTTTTTTTTTTTTTTAAATATTAAAAATAAATAAACAAATAAAAAGAAGAAGAAGAAGACAACTCATATACCTCGAAGAATGCGACAATCTTTAGATAACAAACTGTAATTTTAGCATAAAATGTTTTAAGCCTGCCATTTCTTAATGAGAAATGAGAATATGATAGATGTTTAGACATAATCCTTTATTTGAGTACATCAACAACTACCAAACCCTTTTCCCAACTACTTGAGGTCGATCCTATGTTTCCATTTCGCTTTATTTAAGGCCAAAGCCTCAGTCAATCCACAAGCTATCATATCCTTCCTTGCTAACTCAACTCACGTTAACTTTGGTATTCCTCTTCCATTATTATTAGCCTCAGTGTGGACTATGTCACTTTTCCTAAATGGTGCACTTAAAGGTCTTCTTTGCACATGTCTAAACAATCTTAACCGATTTTCTCTCATTTTATCCCCAATTTGTGCTAGTCCAACCA